TAGCGGGAACCAAACCCAGGTCTCTCTGGACCGCGGGCCAACGCTCTAACCACTGAACCAAACCAGCCAGAGCTACATGCTTAATTTTTTTTATTTTTTAATTAATTTTTAGAGAGAGAGGAAGGGAAAGGGAGAAAAAGACAGAAACATCGATGAGAGAGAACACTGACTGGCCTCCTCCTGCATGACCCTCACTGGGGATTGGGCCCACAACCTGTGCATGTTCCATGACCAGGAATCAAACCAGTGACCTCTTGGTGCATGGGCCAACACTCAACCACTGAGCCACACCAGCCCCTGCTAACAGTTGTTATTTTAAACCATGAAATCTGTTACACTTTCCTATGTGAGACAAGGGAACTCCTGTCCTTTGTGGAAGACTCCAGAGATGGGTGGAGCTGATTGATAACTTCCGCCAAACAGAGCAAGACTCTGTAATGGCAATCACCACTACTCTTCTATTCTTCTGGACAAGGGATGGACCTCAGATGCAGGGACCCAACAGGGGTCTGACCCTATGAAGACCTGGGAAGGCCAGAGCTGAGCAAGGCTTGTAGTTTAGTTATTTTTGCACTGATTTTAGACAGGACTTCTAAATTTGAGTGGTTGTTTTGTATTGAGTATATGCTAGGCAGAAACTTTAAATATTGAACACTATTATGGGGTTAAACAGCCTGCCCAAGATTCCCAAGTTCCTGCATGACTTAAAACGAAATGACATCTCTATATCTAGGAGGTGGCATTGAATGTAAAAAACAGTTAAGAATATAGGATCTAGATCAAATTACCCCAAGTTCAGTTCTGCCACTTAATATTCTGAGACCGCAGAAAAGTTGTTTAAGCTCTCTAAATCTCAGTTTCATCGTCTGCACAACAGGAATGATACCACTTGTGTTGTAGGACTGTTATGAGGATTAAATAAGATCATCTTTGTAAAGCTCTTCAGCACAGAGCTGGTTCTCACACACACACACACACACACACACACGGAGCTTGAGGGAAAGGAGGCGAGAAGGCTGGCGAGGTGCCTTCAGAACTATAAAAGGCATATCCATAAAAGACATGTAAAAGGCATCTGTAAGCCAATAAAGGTATTCATTGCTGAGAACTGCAGGCTAGAAACCTATATTTTATAAACTTCATGGGAAGAGTTTCTGTCCATGTTTTTAAGCAATCAGAACGTTGTTAATTGAGAGACAAATTGTCACCAGGCACTATCCTGAAAGCTGGGGCATAAAAGCTAACAAGATCAAAAAGCCCTCACCTCACAGAGCTTACCTTCTAGTTGGAGGAGTTAAACAAGATAAACAAGGAAGTATGTTGGGTAATGATAAGAGTGAATGAGAGAAAAAAATAATGCAAGGAAGGGGACAGGAAAACAGCAGGGATATAGCTGCAAGTTTTAGATAGAATGACCACAAAAGTCCTCACTAAAATATGACATTTCAACGCAGAGAGAGAGAGAGAGAGAGAGAGAGAGAGAGAGAGAGAAAGAAATAAGGCCATGAGGCACAGAGTAAGGAGAGAGGCAGAGGAACAAAGAAAAAGCAATTCAGGCAGAAGAAAAATGAGTACAGAAACCCTAAGAACAAAGCATATCTCACAATGGTCAAGAAACAGCAAGCAGACCTGTGGCTGGAGTGGAGAAAAAGGGAGTGTGGTTGAAGCTGAAGTCAGGGATGTAGGGACTAAATTGGCATCTTGTTCTACCTATCACGGAAAGAGATGGTTTTGTCATGGTTAGTTTTAGGCGTCAATCTGATCAGGCCATAGTGTGCCCAGACCCAGATATTGGTCAAATATTGTGAGTGCTTCTGTGAGGATGTTTTTGGATGAGATTAACATTTGAATTGGTACACTGAGTAAAGTAGATTGCCTTCCATAATGTGGGTGGTCCTCATCCAATAAGCTGAAGAGCAAAGAATCTTGAGCTGAAACAGTGGATCTCCTTGTTCTCAGGCCTTTGGAGTTGGACTAGAACTTACACCATCACTCCTCTCGCAGCTCCAGCTTACTGACTGCACATCTTAGACCTTCTCAGCCTCTAGTCACATAACAAAATTCTTCTCACAATGTGTGGATGTGTGTGTGTGTGTGTGTGAGAGAGAGAGAGAGAGGGAGGGAGGGAGGGAGGGAGGGAGGGGGAGGGGGGGGAGAGAGAGAGAGAGAGAGAGAGAGAGAGAAATATATCCTACTGGTGAACTCGGACTAATTAGGTTTCAAAGAGGAGTGAGCCACTTGGGATAAATAGGTCAAATAAGGTGAGGCCTGCAAGCTGACCACTGGCAATATGGAGGTCACTAGTGACATTATAAAAAATTGTGGAGGAGCAGTGGGGGCAAAGTCTGAGGGTGATGTGTTGAAGAGAGAATAGGAGAAAAGAAATAGAAAGTAGAATACAGACCATTACCAAGGGGAATTTTTTAAAAATATGTTTTTATTGATTGTTTAGAGAGAGAGAGAGAGAGAGAGAGAAACATCAACCAGCTGCCCCCTGCACACCCTGGCATGTGCCCTGACTGGGAATCGAACCAGGACCTCTGAGTCCATGGGATGACGCTCAATCCACTGAGCCACACCAGCCGGGCAGCCAAGGGGAATTTTTTAAAAAACAAGGAGAAAGAGCCTGTTTATATGCTGTTGAGAATATAACAGAGAAGACAAATTTGATGGGGCAGATAGAGGGTGATGAGTGATGTCTCTTGAGTAGACAGGAGGCAACTGGGTTCACTGCATATGCAGAGGAACCAGCCTTGGCGGGGAGTATGAAGTCACAGAAGATAAGGCCGAGGGTCAGGCGCACAGTGGAAAGGTAGCACAAAGGCAGTGGGAGCCTATATGGACGTTTTCTTCCAATTGCTTCCATTTTTCCCTCCGTGAAATAAAAAGGATGTAGAAAGACGAACTGAAGATTTAAAGTGAGATATTTAAATGCTGTCTATGTGAGCCCTGGCCAGTTTGCTTAGTGGTTGGAGCATCAGCCTGCGGACCAAAGAGCATCAGGTTCAATTCTGGTCAAGGGCACATACCTTGGTTGCAGTTTGGTCCCCAGCCCTGGTTGGGGTCGTGGGGGAAGCAACCAATCAATGTGTCTCTCTCACATCAATGTTTCTCTCTCGCTCTCTTTCTCTCTCCCTCCCTCCCTCTCTCCCTCCCACTCTATCTGAAGATAAATGAAAAAACATCCTGGGGTGAGGATTTAAAAAACAAAAAACCAAAAAACATAAATGCTGTCTGGGTGAGTAACTGCAGCAGTAAAACAGAATGTAATAAAATGTGCCTGCCTGATTTTGGTGATCATGACTTTAAAGTGAGACTAGTCAGTATAGTTTCTCCAGCCACATTCAGCTGTACAAACAGAGGCCAAGAATAAGCAAAAGGTTGGATTCAACAGGCTATAACAGATGCAGTTCATGCACCTCACCAAATCCACTCAGACTTGCCTGCTGCTCTACTGCCCAGCTGGCACAGCCCCTCGAGGTCTAGCAAAAGCTCACAAGCTTCACATGATCACAAAGCCCAGCCCACTACAGGTGTCTTCTCTCCTAATATCACTAGCTGTCTCTGTCTCCCCCAGGGGTAAGGGCTCGACTTTCATGGCCTTCCTTGTGTCCACTGTGGCTGAAGCCACAGCAGCTCCAATGCCCAAATTCAGCTGCTTTTCCAGCAGGTGCCTGGAGAGGCAAAGTAACAAATCCAAAAGCACAGAATAGTTAAGACCCTATGGGGCAACTCTGACCATTAAAAGACAGGAGATGGGAAGTAGCCACAAAATAAATTTCTCAGCTGACCTCCCCACATACTTGTCCCCTTGGGAGTGTTCTGGAATTCTTCTATACTTCCAGTAGAAATGTAAAATTTAAAAAAGTTTGCAGTTTCTTAAAAAATTAAGCATACAACTACTACATGATTCCATTCCTGAGTATTTACCCGAGAAAAGGAAATGCATATTCATGCAGGCATTCACAAATTCTAGTACATCTATGCATGTAGTACTACTCAGCAATAAAAAGAAAAAATCAATTGATACATGCAAACATGTGAATGAGAATCAAAATAATTATGCTGAATGAAAGAAGCCAGACAAATAGTACATAATTTAAGATTCCATCTATATAAAACTCTAAACAATGCAAATTAATCTATAGTGAGAGGAAGCAGATCAGTGGTTGCTTGGGAGAGGAGAGGCAGGTAGGAGGAATTACAAAAGGGCAGAAGTAAACTTTTGGGGATGGTGGATATATTCAGTATCTTGTAGTGATAATTTTACAGGTGTATACACGTCAAAACTAATCAAACTGTAAACTTTAAATATAACAGTTTATTGAATGTCAATTATACCTCAATAAAGCTTTTTATTCCTTTACTTATTTATTTTTGCTAATCCTCACCCAAGGATATTTTTTCCATTAATTTTTTTTTAAGAGTGGGACGAGGGAGGGGTAGACACGGGAGAAACATCGACGTGAGAGAGACAGATTGATAAGTTGCCTCCTGAATAATGAGCCCCAACAGGAGCCACTAATCGAATCTGCAACCCAGATGTGTGCCCTTGACCAGGAACTGAACCCATGAGCCTTCCCAACACTCTCTCCACCTAGACACCCTGGCCAGGGCAATAAAGCCTTTTTTTTCCCCTTTAATGCAATGTTGGTATCATGTTTGAATCCTGATCTAAACAAACCAAGTGTTTAAAAACAGTTGAGTCCTGGCCAGTGGCGTCGGTTCACGTATCAAAGGGTGTCAGGTTCAATTACAGTCAAGGGCATCTACCTTGGTTGCAGTTTCTATCCCTGGCCCTGGTTGGGAGCGGGTGGGAGGCAACCAACTGATGTGTCTCTCTCACATGATATTTTTCTCTTTCTCTCTCCCCCCCCCCCCGACTTTCTCTAAAAATTAATGAAAAAAAATATCCTCAGGTGAGGATTAACAACAATAAAAATAAGTTGACTAGAGACTTAATTATACTAGGAAATAAGTATTCATTTTATTTACTTATTTATTTTATGAAACACTTCATGAATGTGTGTGTCATCCTTGAGCAGGGCTATGCTAATCTTCTCTGTATCATTCCAACTTTAGTATATGTGCTACCAAAGTGAACACAGTATTAATTTTATTTAATTGTGAGATTGTAAGATTTGTTGTTAGATTTTTTTATTAATGTTTTTTACAAGACTTTATTTATTTATTTTTTTTAGAGAAATTTTAGGTTTACAGCAAAATCAAGGAAGGCAGAAAGATTTCCCATATATCCCCTGCCACAGACATGGAAAGGCTCACCCATTACCAACAACACTCACTAGAATGGAACATTTGTAACAAATGATGAACCTCCATTGATATATCATAATCACACAAAGCCCATAGCATACCACAGAATTCACTTTTGGTGTTGTGCATTCTATGGGTTTGAGCAAGCATATAATGCCATGTATTCATCATTATGGTATCATACAGAGTATTTTCACTGCCCCCAAAGTCCTCCGTGCCCCAACTATACATCCCTCCCTCCTACTCTAACTCCTGGCAATCACTGATCTTTTCACTGTCTCCATAGTTTTGCCTTTTTCTGAATGTCATATAGTTGGAATCAGAGTATATAGCCAGATTTTAAGTCATATTTTACAGATAATATACTTAGAGATGGCTAGGTAGGTATGTCAAGATAGGCCTCACCGAGAAGGCAACATTTGAGCTAAGATTTAAAAGAAGAGAAGGAGCCCTGGCCGGTTTGGCTCAGCGGTTAGAGCGTCGGCCTGCGGTCCTGAGAGACCCGGGTTCGGTTCCCGCTAAGGGCACGTACCTCGGTTGCAGTTTGTCCCCGGCCCTGGTCGGTCGTGCGGGTGGCAGCCACTCGATGTGTCCCTTTCACATCGATGTTTCTCTCTCTCTCTCTGTTCCTCTCTCTCCCTCCCACTCTACCTGAGCAAAAAATGGAAAAATGTCCTCGGGTGAGGATAAAAAAAATTAAAAAAAAATAAAAAAATAAAAAATAAATAAAAGAAGAGAAGGAGATAAAGTCAGAGAAGTAATGCAAGACCAAACTGAGCAGCTCTCTACCTCACTGTGAGGTCTTTCTTTGCTTTTACACCTGAGTGAAATGAGGCTACCAGGAGGTTTTGAGCAGCAGAGAAACATACAGACTTATAGCTTAATATACAGAACCAGGATTTATTAAAAGCTACTGCAGTAATTTGAGTTACAGATTATGATAGCTTAGATATTAGCAATGGAGGCAATGAAGTAATTCTTATATTCTCCAAGCTAGTACAGATAGTCTGTAGACAGGAATACAAAACTTATATAGGCTTTTCCTGCCCACAAGAGGCAGGGGAGAAAACATAAAGGCTAATAATTACTTAAAAATAGAGAAGTGATATAATAGAGGTAAGCAACAAGGTACAATAGGAAAACAGATAAGGTGAAGCCAACCTAGTGGGGAATGGGAGAAGAGTGCACAATAATTCTCATGATGTTGCCTGAAATATTACGTCTGGGTATCTCGATTTCAAAATTCCTATATCCCTTATTTCAGTAAATGGCACCAACCATCAGCAAGTCACCTAAACCAAAAATCCAGGAGGTACGATGGCCTTCTATGTCCCACATCCAATCTGTCACTAAAGTATGCCTATCTAGCTTGGCTGGTGTGGCTCAGTGGTTGAACATTGTCCCATGGACTGAGAGGTCCTGGTTCAATTTCTGGTCAGGACACATGCCCAGGTTGTGGGCTCAATCCCTGGTAGGGGGCATGCAGGAGGCAGCTGATCGATGTTTCTCACATCATTATTTCTATCTTCCTCTCTCTCTAAAAAAAAAAATATATATATATATATCAATAAAAAGATATTAAGAAAAAAAAAGAATGTCACCCTGGTTGGTTTGGTTCAGTGGCCCGCAGACTAGACACACCAGGGTTCGGTTCCCACTAAGGGCATTTACCTCGAATGCAGTTTGTCCCTGGCCCTGGTTGGGGTCATGTGGGTGGCAGTCAGTGTGTCCTCTCTCACATCAATGTTTCTCTCTCTCTCCCCCTCCTGCTCTATCTGAAGATAAATGCAAAAATGTCCTCAGGTGAAAACAAAACAAAACAAAAGTATGTCTATTCAACAACTTAAGAGCTTTCCAATCCATCCTCATTTCCCTCCTGAATCATGACTCTCACAGAATCCCCTCATCAGAACTTAAATTGGGATGTCTGGTTTGTTCACAGTGCCTAGAACTATGTCTGGCACGTTGCAGATGCTCATTTAAGTTTCCGAATGAATGAGTGGTCTTCCCTACCTTCCACGAACCCATTCGTGTTTTTTTTCATCCTCACTCGAGGACATTTTTCCATTTTTTGTTCAGATAGAGTGGGGAGGGGGAGAGAGAGAGAGAGAGAGAGAGAAACATCGATGTGAAAGGGACACACTGAGTGGCTGCCACCCACATGACCCAACCAGGGCCAGGGACAAACTGCAACTGAGGTACATGCCCTTAGCAGGAACCGAACCCAGGTCTCTCTGTACCACAGGCCAACGCTTTACCGCTGAGCCACACCAACCAGGGCCATGAACCCATTCTTACAAGCCCTCCTCAACACAACAAGTAATGATCTTGCCAAACTGCAATTGTATTCACAGCACTCTGGCTTAAAATTCTCCAGTGTTACTAAGGAACAATGATTCTCCAAAGTAGAGCAGTGTGGTTTTAAAATGCATGGTCAAGCCCTTGCCAGTGTGGCTCAGTAGACAGAGCATCAGCCAGTGCACCAACAGGTCTTGGGTTCAATTCCCAGTCAAGGGCATGTACCTGGGTTGCAGGTTCAATCTCTCCTAGCACTGGTCCGTGTGTGTGAAGGAGGCAAGCAATCGATGTCTCTCTCTCGCATCGATGTTTCTTCCCCTTCCTCTCCCACTCTCCCTTCCTTCCATTTCCACTCTCTCTAAAAATCAATGGAAAAAAATATCATCAGGTGAGGATTAACCAAAAAAAAAGAAGCTTGGTCAATATGACATGTAGGATTTCATAAAAATGTTATACTACTATTTTCATAATACAAACATTAAGGAAAGTGTGTTACTTTATTTACTTATTTATTTTAATTCTCACTCGAGAATATTTTTCCTTTTTTCTTTTAGAGAGAGTGGAAGGGTGGGGGCGGGGAGAAAACATCAATGTGAAAGACACATTGATTGGTTGCCCCTGACACCAACCCAACTGGGGCCGGGGATCAAACCTGCAACCTAGGCATGTGCTCTTGACCCGAATCAAACCCAAGACCCTTCGGTCCAGGGGCCAACGCTCTAACTGTTGAGTAAAAAGGCCAGATCAAAAGGTATGTTATTTTTATGAGTCTTTATGGTTGTTAAAAATCACTTCAACAACATTTAAAATAAATTCCAAATGGGGAACGACTGCTAATAAGTACAAGACTTCTACTGGGTAATAAAAATGAAATTAGAGCCTGGCTGGTGTGGCTCAGTGGTTGAGCGTCAACCCATGCACCAGGGGGTCGCTGGTTCGGTTCCTGGTCAGGGCACATGCCCAGGTTGTGGGCCAAGTCCCCAGTGGGGGGCATGCAGGAGGCGGCCAGTTGATGTTCTCTCTCATCGATGTTTCTATCTGTCTCTCCCTCTCCCTTCCTCTCTCTCTAAAAATCAATAAAGAAAAAAAAATTTTCATTTCATTTAAAAAAAAATGAAATTAGAAAAGTGGGGATGGCTGCACAATTCCCAGTCTGGGCATATACCCCTTTGCCAGTTCGATTCCTGACTGGGGTAAATACAAGTGGCAACAGATCAATGTTTCTCTCTCTCCTTTCCTCTCTTTAAAATTGGTAAAAACTTATCCTCAGGTGAGGATTTTTAAAAAAGCAAGGCAATAGACATCTTAAGGAGAATTATGTTCCTGAAAAGCTAAAAACTGAAAAACACATCTCATCTTACTTTTCCAGAGTATAATTCCAATTTCACACATGTGCTTAAATTGTTTTGTGTGCATGTGTGTTCTTTACAATTAAACAGTCAACCAACAAATGTTGTCTAACGGGTAAAAGTTACGTGCCTTTAGAATGCTTCATTTATTATCATTAGCTTTGTCTCAACTGCATTCAAGTTTACAGAATCTATACTTCAAACCACTGGTATTAACACTTTCACTTTGCCACTGCTAATTGTTCTTAGTAAGGCAGAAAGTGTCGTTTTAAAACTTTTTATATCAATAAAGCTCATCAAAAATTATCCAGAAATTCAATATACAAAACTAAATAAAAATTCATCTATTTTAATTTATACCCTGCTTTAGCAGGGTAAGGGGTCTACATCCCTACCCCCCAACCTCTCAGCAAAATGGTGTGCAAAAATTGCAATGCCATGGAAACTAAGCTGTTGGTAAGCAAGCAGAACGCCAAGCAAGGCTCAAAACCATAGTTCATCAGCTGATATATAAAACCCTAATTCAGTTTAGAGTATCAATATACGGCATATGAAAAGCACCAGATGTTCAAAAATCAAAAAGACTTCTAGCTGAAAATGACTAAAAAACAACAGAAATTTCTATAAAAAGTGCTTCAAAAAAAATACACACACACTCAAACACAGATAAATACTCCTTTTACTAAATCACGCCAAGATGGAGGTCCAAGACAATCCAAGAATAAGATATTTCTAAATTACACTTTTCTCAGAAGTGCATTAATTGGAAATAATAAAATTTAAATATTTACTTTTTAAAGAATAGTTAATGCAAAAAAATTTTCCTTTGGAAAATTCTGGGCTAGAATTATCAGATTTCAAGGAGTATGACAGATCAGACTGAGTACTTGATCACAAACATCGAAATGATCAGTGGCTATATGAAAACATAAAATTTGGGAGCTGGCAGGGGTGGTTCAGTTAATTAGAGTATTGTCCCACACACCAGAAGGTTTTGGATTCGATTCCCAATCTGGGCACATACCCAGGTTTCAGGTTCAATCCCCAATCCCAGCATGTGGGAGACAATGTTTCTCACATCCATGTTTCTCTCTCTCCCATCATCTCTCTCCAAAATCAATAAAAACATATTCTCAGGTGAGGATTTAAGAAAATTTTTTAAACATAAAATTTGGTATTACCATT